ATGCCAACACATCTGGCTAACTTTTGTATTTTAGTAGAGACAGTGTTTCACCTTGTTAGCCAGGCTGATCTTGAACTCCTGACCTCAGGTGATCCACCAGCCTCTGCCTCACAAGCACTGGGATTACAGGAGTGAGCCACCACGCCTGGCCTCTTCTCTATTTTTTTTTTCACTGCAATTACTCTTATCTAATTTTGAGTTGTATCAGATTCTCAATCTAGTTAAGATTCAAATTACATATCAGCTTGCTAGTCTAGCGCTTTTCCTTACTCCTCTCCCTGAAACGTCCTCAATTCTGTTTCTATTCTGCGTGGCATTTTCCCCACTCCCGTGGACCGGTGTCCAGGGCCTCATACCCCCCAAAACCCTTCAACTAGTTATTAACTAATTTAACTGTGTATATAACATGTAGAAGAACACCTTTTCTGCCAGTAAAAACATTTTCTTTCAAGAAAATAGGTAACAGCTGTTTCATAAAACCTTCCGGGCCAGACATGGTGGTTCTCAGCTGTAATCCCAGCACTTTGGGAGGCCGAGGTGGGTGGGTCACCTGAGGCCAGGAGTTTCAGATAAGCCTGGCCAACATGGCAAACCCCGTCTTTACCAAAAGGATAAAACTTAGCCCAGTGTGGTGTGGTAGGTGCTTGTAATCCCAGCTACTCAGGAGGCTGAAGCAAAGAATCGCTTGAATACAGGAGACAAAGATTACAGTGAGCCAACATTGCACACTGCGCTCCAGCCTGGGCCACAAGAGTGAATCTCTGTCTCAAAAAGGAAACAAACAAACAAACAAAACTCTTCTCTATATGAAACTGAGCCTACAATATCTTGCTCATAGAATTCTGTAGCGCTTATGCACACATAAAGTGTGCGAATTCACACTGGTTCTGGGGACTCCTTTCATGAATGCCAGCTAAGATGTGGCCCCTAAACCAGGGGACGTGCTCGAGTGCCTCTTCAGTCCTCCTACAGTGTGGAATACAGTGCTGCTTCTGCAGCATTGAGCAGCAGTCCTTGAGACGGTAGAGTTTGGAATTTGATCTTTGCAGACTTGAGTTTTAATCCTGACTCTGTAACCTATAAGCACCATAAGAAAGGTACTCAAGCTGTCTATCTCAGGTGTCCAGCGGGGATAGTACCCATTTTACAGGGTGCGATGGTTAATTTCAGGTGTCCACGTGGCTGCCTTAAGGAATACATCAGGAATTGGTAAAGCATTGTTTCTGAGTGAGCCCGCAGGTATTCCCAGGAAGATTGGTGTGAGCTGGTGGACAGAGTGAGGAAGATGCCTTTAGTAGAGACAGGCCCCATCCAATTCTCTGAGGCCCAGATCGAAGAAACAGGGCAGAGGAAAGGCGCTTTCCTCCCTTTCTCTCCTGGAGCTGGGACTCTTCTTTTCCTGCCCGTGGACAGCACAACTGCAGGCTCTTTTCATACTGAGAGTTACACCATCCACTTCCCTGGTTCTGAGGCTTTTGGATGTGAACTGAGTCACACTCCTGGCATCCCAGGGGCTCCAGCCTGCAGAAAGCCTGTCCTGAGACTTTTCACCCTCCAATTCCTTAATAATCTGCTCTCATCCATCTTTGCCGATATCCTGTTGGTGGTTGTCTCTCAAGAGCCCCGATAATCCATAGGGGTGATGTGGGGGAGCAATGAGGTCGTGCATGGGGAGCAGCAGCATTTCACAGCCTGCCTGACACATGCCCGTGTCCTATAGGCTGCAGCTGCAGCTATTCTAGAGCTTAGTGTCAGGGCTTAAACAGTGGCAGGCCTTGCCTCCGGCACCCAGCCATCGTGTTGATCTTTTCCTGTCATTTTTCAATTCCAGAGTGTTTTCTTGAGAGCAATTCGGTTGTCCCAGGTAGTATTGACGAGGGGCTAAAATCAATCCTTACCTGTGGGAATCTGAAGCTGGGAGTGAGCAAAGGTGAGAAAGTTCTCAGGAGTCAGGAGAGAGGAAGCTGCCATGGTCAAGGGGAATCGACATGAGCCTTCCTGCCGTGTGTTCTGTCTCCTGCGGTCTAATGAGAAAGAGACATATGTATGTCTACATCATCTCATACTTAGCTCTTTAATATGTACAAGGTGTTTTCAAATTTTCCCACCGACTGTCCTTGACAGCTGAGAACATCAAGATTACCTGTTGTTGGTGACTGTTGTCAAGGGGATCCGCCCTTTAGGGACACAGGAAGATTTGCCTAAAAACGTCAGGAAGCTTGATATCTATTATTTTATTATAAAAGTCAACTGCAGTTTTGCTGATGTATTACTTCTTTACTCATTCCAATGTTTATTTTAAGCCTGAGCTTGTGGGTAGTTGGAGAAGGAGGGAAATATTTAACACTCTTATTAACTAATTTTACTGTGTATTTAACATGTAGAATAAAGAAAGACTTAAATGAAGATGTAGTATTTGTGAATGCGGCAACAAACTAAAAGATTATTTAAATTACTGATTTCTGATTGAACCATTTATTGTCCATAATGAATTAAAAGTTTGTGAAAATAATTCCGTGACCTTTGGCATCTATAATTTCAAAATCGTAGTAATTTTTCAAAGCTGAAAATGCCTGAAACACCAGTCTGCCAATCATCACAATAAAACATGAAGCCCCAGTGAAAGAGCTAGTCAGGATGGGTTCCCAATCAATAGCAGTTGAAGCTCCAACTACCATCAGGTGATGAGAAAACACGGTGTAAGGGCCACGTGTAATTTTTTAAATGCCAAAAGAATCGTCACAGACCGTTTTGGCTTGCAGAGCTTGAATGGCAATATGGCATTAAAATAAGGTACACAAAATTAATTATGAATGTAATTTTGAAACACACTGCTAAAGTGCTCCCTAATATTCAACAAGCCCAAAAGTGACCACTGACAAAGACTTCGTTTATTGCAGTTTTTATGCTGTCATTATGGAAAAACTGTAGCAGAAAGTTCACCAACCTCCCTTTGGAAAGAGACGTACAACCACGGCCAATAGGCTTTCCTAAAGGACAGCAGGAGCTTTCACTGGACTTGTTTCCCGTCCATAACATACAAATAGTTATTGTTCAGGGTCAATACAGCCTTGCAAATACACAGGCTTTGAGTTATACCAAGCATGCTCGTCCTTATATGGTATGTCCATATATGAAATACAAAAGAAATACACCACAAAATGATGGTGTTCAGGACATGGGGGAAGGCCCTGTTTCTGTGGTACAGCGTAACACATGGAAACTGCCTATAAAGCCAGTGCTTCACAACCCACGCCCTTATTACATGGAAATTCACGTTTCCATAATCACATAAAAGTTTAATGTGCTATTCATTATAAGATTAAAGGTTATGAGTTATTCTGTGCATGTAATTATTGACAACTGGAAATTAAATCGCGATAATTTTTTACTCTATTCTTTTAAAAATGATAATTTTCTTTCTCCTTTTGCCTGAGAACCATGCTTCGACAATCATAACACCTTACCTCCTAAAGTAAATGATCACAAATAGAATATATATTTTATATATGATATATAGTTATATTTATACATTATATAACAATATAAATATATATTTATATTTTATCTTTGTATTGATAAATTTATATAAAATATTAATATATATATATAATCTATATATGAAATCTAGCCACATAAACCTAAATATATAAAAATAAAAATATAAATACACATATATAGAGGTAATTATATACAAATATATAATGATAAATACAAATCATATATATATATATATATATATATATATATACATGCACACATTAGGAATACACAGGTCTTTTCTGTATATAGCAAAGACCTGTGTGTTTATATAAAAACCCATGTATATAAATATTTATAAATATGTATTTTATATATATATACACATTAGGAACACAGTAGTAGCAAATTCTACTATATATAGAAAAGACCTGTGCATTTATATAACTATATATGAATGTAGATTACACATATAGACATTACAAATACACAGGTCTTTTCGACACATAGCAAGTTCTATATTATTCTCTCATTGCAATGATGGACAACTGGGTATTGAGTAGTGAAAAATTTTGTAGTTTATTCTTCTTAAAGTGGTTATTTTCTTTCTCTTTTTGCCTGTGAACCATGCTTCAACAATCAGAACGCCTTACTTTCTAAATAAATGATTATATATAACATATAAATATGTTTATATATAATATAAATATTTCTATATATAATCTATATGTATATATGAAGAAGTTAATATATAAATATATAGTAGGTTCTAGTATATATAGAAAAAACATGTATTTCTAATGTATGTCGACATCTGTATTTATAGACATATAATCCATATTTGTATTTATATATTTTATACATATAAGATCTATATATTTTTAAATAATATAGTTGTATATATTTCATTTACTTATATATTTGTATATAGTAAGTTCTACTATATATGGAAAAGACCTGTGTATTTCTAATGTATGGAAATATGAAATGTACTTTTTGTGTCCTCAGTTGCAAAAATAAAATAGCTTTTTTCAAATAGATTTTACTCTACTTTGAATTTTTCTTCTTAATTATATTAGATTGTGGGGAGGGGATGCTGAAAGGAAAGAGGATTCTTCCATCGGTTTCTATGAATGAAAAGGTACTTTAACAATGAAACCTAAGCAGGTAGAATCTGATTCTTGGTACTTGATGTATGAGCTAGCAAGATTGCATGAAGAAAGAAGCCTTACAAGACGAGGAGTCATCCTGTGAAGGGGAAATTTGTCTCCAGTGCTCAGCTCTGATGCAGTCCTTATCCTCCTGTCTGGCTGTGACCTGTCTCTCTGACATCAACCTCGTAGGACCCCACTTCCTACCCCCTCCACACACCACCCATTCTTCCCTCCGCCCCATACACCACCACTTCCTCCCTCCCTCTCCCCCCCCTCCCTCTCCCCCCCCTCCCCCCCACACATCACCTGTCCCTCCCTCCCTCCCTCCCTCCCCACCATCAGAGAACACAGTCACTGGGATCATTTTGCAACACATTGGATTTATTGACATCAGCATGGGGGCGCCCCCTGCGCTGGTGAGATCTCCGAGTCTCCTGGCAGCTGGGCCTGAACTTAGTCGCTGCTGAGGGACGAGGCGGAGACGGTCATCACGTCACTCGGTAGATCCGACGAGGTGGAGACGGTCATCACGTCACTCAGTGGCTCCGACGAGGTGGAGACGGTCATCACGTCACTCAGTGGCTCCTCCAGCTGGGTCTCCTGGCACAGTGGCTCCTCCAGCTGGGTCTCCTGGCTCAGTGGGTCGGGCTTGCCCACTGGCTCCTCCTTCACAGGCACTTTGCATGGAGGAAGCTCCTGGCTCGGCGGCTGGCTGGGCCCGGGTGGTGCTGGCCCGCTCCCTGCCTCAGGGGCTCCCACGGCTGCCATCTTTTTCCCAGCGGCACGTTTCTTCCCGCCTCTCCCTCCAGGACCTACTTTTCCTCTCTTGCCCACCTTGGGCGTCTGGAAGGACAACAGGGAGATCACAGTGGGGCTCTGTCCGGGTCAGGGGAGAGGATGGAGGAGGCTGGGAACAGGGACGTTTCCTGAGAAGCGGTGAGGGCCGGGCTGGGGGTTGTGCCAGGTGAGGACAGGGCAGGAATCTTGAGGAAGGAATCAAGGGGAAGACGAGGAGGAGCTCGGGTGGGTCACTCACCTTCTTCGGGGTACTGGGACTCACCTCAGAAGAGGACTTCCTCTTTCGCGTCTCCCCGGCCTTGGCCGGCGGTACCGAGGCTCTCTTCTTTGGCGCCATCTTGCTCAACTCAAAGGTCATCACGTCACTCAGTGGCTCCGACGAGGTGGAGACGGTCATCACGTCACTCAGTGGCTCCTCCAGCTGGGTCTCCTGGCTCAGTGGATCCTCCAGCTGGGTCTCCTGGCTCAGTGGGTCGGGCTCGCCCACTGGCTCCTCCTTCACAGGCACTTTGCATGGAGGAAGCTCCTGGCTCGGCGGCTGGCTGGGCCCGGGTGGTGCTGGCCCGCTCCCTGCCTCAGGGGCTCCCACGGCTGCCATCTTTTTCCCAGCGGCACGTTTCTTCCCGCCTCTCCCTCCAGGACCTGCTTTTCCTCTCTTGCCCACCTTGGGCGTCTGGAAGGACAACAGGGAGATCACAGTGGGGCTCTGTCCGGGTCAGGGGAGAGGATGGAGGAGGCTGGGAACAGGGACGTTTCCTGAGAAGCGGTGAGGGCCGGGCTGGGGGTTGTGCCAGGTGAGGACAGGGCAGGAATCTTGAGGAAGGAATCAAGGGGAAGACGAGGAGGAGCTCGGGTGGGTCACTCACCTTCTTCGGGGTACTGGGACTCGCCTCAGAAGAGGACTTCCTCTTTCGCGTCTCCCCGGCCTTGGCCGGCGGTCCCGAGGCTCTCTTCTTTGGCGCCATCTTGCTCAACTCAACGTCTCCAACGTCAATGTCAGGCTGCCTGGTCTACGTGTACGTGCCCCTTTCGTCCACGACAATGAGGCAACCACGTTTCTGAGCTTTGATTGGTCAGCATGCCACCACCCAGCCAATGGTAGCCCTGGGCGGGAAGGACGGGCTTAGACGTCACACAGCACCGCCGGGACATGGCCGAAGAAGTGTGGGGTGGGGTGGCATTTGATGAGGAAGGCAGGATGCTATGATTGGAGAAAGGGAGATTATGGTTAGCACTCCTAAAGATGGTTCCCAACTGACATGTCACCCCACTTCACCTCCCCATGTTCAATTTTGGCAGATCACTTGGCACGGGAGGGTGTTTCCTCCAGATGTTTCCCCAGGACCCCCCCATTCAGTGGTACATTCTGTTCCCTCCCAGCTTCCATCATTACCCAGTTTCTGTATGACCTACCTCAACCTCCTCCATGCTAACTGGGACAGGTGTAAGGCTATGTGAAGATGGCAATCATCTCCCTCTCCTACACATTCGTCTGCTGATCCTCGAGGACCATTCACTTCTTGGATGCTGTGAAAGAACTTATCCATTTCCCTTTCTTATCCCAGTGCCCACAGATTGCCCCTAAATGTTTCATTCTCATGGTTTAAAGCACTGGCGTCAGGGGGTCAAGCTCAGCAAACACACTGTCTCTGCTGCTTATCTGTATCAAGCTGGGTTCCTCAGAGAAGGAGAAACTAACCCAACAGGGTATTGTGTTTGTGTGTGTGTGTGTGTGTGTGTGTGTGTGTGTGTGTAATATACATCATAAACATCTATTTACTATCATATCATATTTGTTTCTGAATGATATTATGTATACGATACGGTTTACTGTAAGGAATTGTCTCACACATTCACACAATGTGGCGGTCTGGAAGGCTGAAATATGCAGCGCAGGTGAGCAGTCTGGAAACTAAAAGCTTCTGCACAGTTGACAGTCAACAAAATTAAAAGGCAGCCTATGGTTTGGGAGGTTTGTGTGCTCCCTCTGGGTTTATTTGGCAGCAGGTAGGACATACCTGGGTCATCTTTTGTAAACTCAGGGTGGAATAAGAAAGCCCCATCTATCTTCCAGGACCATTCTAAGGATGCCTCGCATGCATTGCTCAGTCATGGCAGCGATGATTATTTTTCGAATAGTATCTAGCCCACTGCCTGGACCATGGTTGGTCCCCAATAAATAATTTTTGGATGAATAATTTAATTTGTTATTAATACTTTTTTTACCCTCCTTATTGTTTTTTTTTTTTGGAGACAGGGTCTTGCTTTCTTTTCCAGGTTGAAGTGCAGTGGCGTGATCTTAGTTCACGGCAGCCTCCACCTCCCAGGTTCAGTTATTCTGCCTCAGCCTTCTGAGTAGCTGGGACTACCGGCACATGCCAACACATCTGGCTAACTTTTGTATTTTAGTAGAGACAGTGTTTCACCTTGTTAGCCAGGCTGATCTTGAACTCCTGACCTCAGGTGATCCACCAGCCTCTGCCTCACAAAGCACTGGGATTACAGGAGTGAGCCACCACGCCTGGCCTCTTCTCTATTTTTTTTTTTTCACTGCAATTACTCTTATCTAATTTTGAGTTGTATCAGATTCTCAATCTAGTTAAGATTCAAAATTACATATCAGCTTGCTAGTCTAGCGCTTTTCCTTACTCCTCTCCCTGAAACGTCCTCAATTCTGTTTCTATTCTGCGTGGCATTTTCCCCACTCCCGTGGACCGGTGTCCAGGGCCTCATACCCCCCAAAACCCTTCAACTAGTTATTAACTAATTTAACTGTGTATATAACATGTAGAAGAACACCTTTCTGCCAGTAAAAACATTTTCTTTCAAGAAAATAGGTAACAGCTGTTTTCATAAAACCTTCCGGGCCAGACATGGTGGTTCTCAGCTGTAATCCCAGCACTTTGGGAGGCCGAGGTGGGTGGGTCACCTGAGGCCAGGAGTTTCAGATAAGCCTGGCCAACATGGCAAAACCCCGTCTTTACCAAAAGGATAAAACTTAGCCCAGTGTGGTGTGGTAGGTGCTTGTAATCCCAGCTACTCAGGAGGCTGAAGCAAAGAATCGCTTGAATACAGGAGACAAAGATTACAGTGAGCCAACATTGCACCACTGCGCTCCAGCCTGGGCCACAAGAGTGAATCTCTGTCTCAAAAAGAAACAAACAAACAAACAAAAACTCTTCTCTATATGAACTGAGCCTACAATTATCTTGCTCATAGAATTTCTGTAGCGCTTATGCACACATAAAGTGTGCGAATTCACACTTGGTTCTGGGGACTCCTTTCATGAATGCCAGCTAAGATGTGGCCCCTAAACCAGGGGACGTGCCTCGAGTGCCTCTTCAGTCCTCCTACAGTGTGGAATACAGTGCTGCTTCTGCAGCATTGAGCAGCAGTCCTTGAGACGGTAGAGTTTGGAATTTGATCTTTGCAGACTTGAGTTTTAATCCTGACTCTGTAACCTATAAGCACCATAAGAAAGGTACTCAAGCTGTCTATCTCAGGTGTCCAGCGGGGATAGTACCCATTTTACAGGGTGCGATGGTTAATTTCAGGTGTCCACGTGGCTGCCTTAAGGAATACATCAGGAATTGGTAAAGCATTGTTTCTGAGTGAGCCCGCAGGTATTCCCAGGAAGATTGGTGTGAGCTGGTGGACAGAGTGAGGAAGATGCCTTTAGTAGAGACAGGCCCCATCCAATTCTCTGAGGCCCAGATCGAAGAAACAGGGCAGAGGAAAGGCGCTTTCCTCCCTTTCTCTCCTGGAGCTGGGACTCTTCTTTTCCTGCCCGTGGACAGCACAACTGCAGGCTCTTTTCATACTGAGAGTTACACCATCCACTTCCCTGGTTCTGAGGCTTTTGGATGTGAACTGAGTCACACTCCTGGCATCCCAGGGGCTCCAGCCTGCAGAAAGCCTGTCCTGAGACTTTTCACCCTCCAATTCCTTTAATAAATCTGCTCTCATCCATCTTTGCCGATATCCTGTTGGTGGTGTCTCTCAAGAGCCCCGATTAATCCATAGGGGTGATGTGGGGGAGCAATGAGGTCGTGCATGGGGAGCAGGCAGCATTTCACAGCCTGCCTGACACATGCCCGTGTCCTATAGGCTGCAGCTGCAGCTATTCTAGAGCTTAGTGTCAGGGCTTAAAACAGTGGAAGGCCTTGCCTCCGGCACCCAGCCATCGTGTTGATCTTTTCCTGTCATTTTTCAATTCCAGAGTGTTTTCTTGAGAGCAATTCGGTGTCCCAGGTAGTATTGACGAGGGGCTAAAATCAATCCTTACCTGTGGGAATCTGAAGCTGGGAGTGAGCAAAGGTGAGAAAGTTCTCAGGAGTCAGGAGCAGAGGAAGCTGCATGGTCAAGGGGAATCGACATGAGCCTTCCTGCCGTGTGTTCTGTCTCCTGCGGTCTAATGAGAAAGAGACATATGTATGTCTACATCATCTCATACTTAGCTCTTTAATATGTACAAGGTGTTTTCAAATTTTCCCACCGACTGTCCTTGACAGCTGAGAACATCAAGATTACCTGTTGTTGGTGACTGTTGTCAAGGGGATCCGCCCTTTAGGGACACAGGAAGATTTGCCTAAAAACGTCAGGAAGCTTGATATCTATTATTTTATTATAAAAGTCAACTGCAGTTTTGCTGATGTATTACTTCTTTACTCATTCCAATGTTTATTTTAAGCCTGAGCTTGTGGGTAGTTGGAGAAGGAGGGAAAATATTTAACACTCTTATTAACTAATTTTACTGTGTATTTAACATGTAGAATAAAGAAAGACTTAAATGAAGATGTAGTATTTGTGAATGCTGCAACAAACTAAAAGATTATTTAAATTACTGATTTCTGATTGAACCATTTATTGTCCATAATGAATTAAAAGTTTGTGAAAATAAATTCCGTGACCTTTGGCATCTATAATTTCAAAATCGTAGTAATTTTTCAAAGCTGAAAATGCCTGAAACACCAGTCTGCCAATCATCACAATAAAACATGAAGCCCCAGTGAAAGAGCTAGTCAGGATGGGTTCCCAATAAATAGCAGTTGAAGCTCCAACTACCATCAGGTGATGAGAAAACACGGTGTAAGGGCCACGTGTAATTTTTTAAATGCCAAAAGAATCGTCACAGACCGTTTTGGCTTGCAGAGCTTGAATGGCAATATGGCATTAAAATAAGGTACACAAAATTAATTATTGAATGTAATTTTGAAACACACTGCTAAAGTGCTCCCTAATATTCAACAAGCCCAAAAGTGACCACTGACAAGACTTCGTTTATTGCAGTTTTTATGCTGTCATTATGGAAAAACTGTAGCAGAAAGTTCACCAACCTCCCTTTGGAAAGAGACGTACAACCACGGCCAATAGGCTTTCCTAAAGGACAGCAGGAGCTTTTCACTGGAACTTGTTTCCCGTCCATAACATACAAATAGTTATTGTTCAGGGTCAATACAGCCTTGCAAATACACAGGCTTTGAGTTATACCAAGCATGCTCGTCCTTATATGGTATGTCCATATATGAAATACAAAAGAAATACACCACAAAATGATGGTGTTCAGGACATGGGGGAAGGCCCTGTTTCTGTGGTACAGCGTAACACATGGAAACTGCCTATAAAGCCAGTGCTTCACAACCCACGCCCTTATTACATGGAAATTCACGTTTCCATAATCACATAAAAGTTTAATGTGCTATTCATTATAAGATTAAAGGTTATGAGTTATTCTGTGCATGTAATTATTGACAACTGGAAATTAAATCGCGATAATTTTTTACTCTATTCTTTTAAAAATGATAATTTTCTTTCTCCTTTTGCCTGAGAACCATGCTTCGACAATCATAACACCTTACCTCCTAAAGTAAATGATCACAAATAGAATATATATTTTATATATGATATATAGTTATATTTATACATTATATAACAATATAAATATATATTTATATTTTATCTTTGTATTGATAAATTTATATAAAATATTAATATATATATATAATCTATATATGAAATCTAGCCACATAAACCTAAATATATAAAAATAAAAATATAAATACACATATATAGAGGTAATTATATACAAATATATAATGATAAATACAAATCATATATATATATATATATATATACATGCACACATTAGGAATACACAGGTCTTTTCTGTATATAGCAAAGACCTGTGTGTTTATATAAAAACCCATGTATATAAATATTTATAAATATGTATTTTATATATATATACACATTAGGAACACAGTAGTAGCAAATTCTACTATATATAGAAAAGACCTGTGCATTTATATAACTATATATGAATGTAGATTACACATATAGACATTACAAATACACAGGTCTTTTCGACACATAGCAAGTTCTATATTATTCTCTCATTGCAATGATGGACAACTGGGTATTGAGTAGTGAAAAATTTTGTAGTTTATTCTTCTTAAAGTGGTTATTTTCTTTCTCTTTTTGCCTGTGAACCATGCTTCAACAATCAGAACGCCTTACTTTCTAAAATAAATGATTATATATAACATATAAATATGTTTTATATATAATATAAATATTTCTATATATAATCTATATGTATATATGAAGAAGTTAATATATAAATATATAGTAGGTTCTAGTATATATAGAAAAAACATGTATTTCTAATGTATGTCGACATCTGTATTTATAGACATATAATCCATATATTGTATTTATATATTTTATACATATAAGATCTATATATTTGTAAATAATATAGTTGTATATATTTCATTTACTTATATATTTGTATATAGTAAGTTCTACTATATATGGAAAAGACCTGTGTATTTCTAATGTATGGAAATATGAAATGTACTTTTTGTCCCCTCAGTTGCAAAAATAAAATAGCTTTTTTCAAATAGATTGTACTCTACTTTGAATTTTTCTTCTTAATTATATTAGATTGTAGGGAGGGGATGCTGAAAGGAAAGTGGATTTTTCCATTGGTTTCTATGAATGAAAAGGTACTTTAACAATGAAACCTAAGCAGGTAGAATCTGATTCTTGGTACTTGATGTATGAGCTAGCAAGACTGCATGAAGAAAGAAGCCTTACAAGACGAGGAGTCATCCTGTGAAGGGGAAATTTGTCTCCAGTGCTCAGCTCTGATGCAGTCCTTATCCTCCTGTCTGGCTGTGACCTGTCTCTCTGACATCAACCTCGTAGGACCCCACTTCCCACCCCCTCCACACACCACCCATTCTTCCCTCCGCCCCATACACCACCACTTCCTCCCTCCCTCTCCCCCCTCCCCCCACACATCACCTGTCCCTCCCTCCCTCCCTCCCTCCCTCCCTCCCTCCCTCCCTCCCCACCATCAGAGAACACAGTCACTGGGATCATTTTGCAACACATTGGATTTATTGACATCAGCATGGGGGCGCCCCCTGCGCTGGTGAGATCTCCGAGTCTCCTGGCAGCTGGGCCTGAACTTAGTCGCTGCTGAGGGACGAGGTGGAGACGGTCATCACGTCACTCGGTGGATCCGACGAGGTGGAGACGGTCATCACGTCACTCAGTGGCTCCTCCAGCTGGGTCTCCTGGCTCAGTGGATCCTCCAGCTGGGTCTCCTGGCTCAGTGGGTCGGGCTCGCCCACTGGCTCCTCCTTCACAGGCACTTTGCATGGAGGAAGCTCCTGGCTCGGCGGCTGGCTGGGCCCGGGTGGTGCTGGCCTGCTCCCTGCCTCAGGGGCTCCCACGGCTGCCATCTTTTTCCCAGCGGCAGGTTTCTTCCTGCCTCTCCCTCCAGGACCTGCTTTTCCTCTCTTGCCCGCCTTGGGCGTCTGGAAGGACAACAGGGAGATCACAGTGGGGCTCTGTCCGGGTCAGGGGAGAGGATGGAGGAGGCTGGGAACAGGGACATTTCCTGAGAAGTGGTGAGGGCCGGGCTGGGGGTTGTGCCAGGTGAGGACAGGGCAGGAATGTTGAGGAAGGAATCAAGGGGAAGACGAGGAGGAGCTCGGGTGGGTCACTCACCTTCTTCGGGGTACTGGGACTCGCCTCAGAGGAAGACTTCCTCTTTCGCGTCTCCCCGGCCTTAGCCGGTGGTCCCGAGGCTCTTTTCTTTGGCGCCATCTTGCTCAACTCAACGTCTCCAACGTCAACGTCTCCATCGTCAACGTCTCCAACGTCAACGTCAGGCTGCCTGCTCTACGTGTACGTGCCCCTCCCGGGATCTGACGACAGTGAGGCGATCACGTCCCTGAGCTTTCATTGGTCAGCATGCCGCCACCCAGCCAATGGTAGCCCTGGGCGGGAAGGACAGGCTTAGACGTCACACAGCACCATCAGGATGTGGCCGAAGAAGTGTGGGGGTGGGGTGGCATTTGATAAGGAAGGCAGGATGCTGTGATTGGAGAAAGGAAGATTATGGTTAGCATTCCTAAAGATACTTTCCAAATTGACACCCTCTTAACCTCCCCATGTTCAATTTTTGCAGATCAAGTGGCATGGGAGAGTGTTTCCTCCAGATGTTTCCCCAGATCCCCCCGTTCAGTGGTACATTCTGTTCCCTCCCACCTTCCATCATTACCCAGTTTCTGTATGACCTATCTTTTTTTTTTTTTTTTTCCCGAGACAGAGTTTCGCTTTTGTTAGCCAGGCTGGAGCGCAATGGCATGATCTCGGCTCACCGCAGCCTCCGCCTCCTGGGTTCAGGCAATTCTCCTGCCTCAGCCTCCTGGGTAGCTGGGATTACAGGCACTCGCCACCATACCCAGCTAATTTTTTGTATCTTGAGTAGAGATGGGGTTTCACCATTTTGACCAGGATGGTCTCAATCTTTTTACCTCGTGATTCACCCGCCTCGGCTTCCCAAAGTGCTGGGATTACAGGCTTGAGCCACTGCGCCCAGCCTCTGTATGACCTATCTAAACCTCCTCCGTGCTAACTGCGACAGGTGTAAAGCTATATGAAGATGTCAATCATCTCTCTCTCCTACAAATTCCTCTGCTGATCTTCGAGGACCTTCACTTCTTGGATGCCATGAAAGAACTTATCCATTTCTCTTCCTTCTCCCAGCATCCACATAGTGTCACTCAATGCTTCATTCTCACGGTTTAAAGCACTGGCTTCAGGTCGAGGTCAGCAAACATACTTGCTCAACTGGGTATCAGTATCAGGCTGGGTTCCTAAGAGAAGGAGAAACTAAGCGAACTGGATATTGAGATGTGTGTGTCTGTGTGCAATATTATGTATCATAAACATCTATTTACTATTGTATAGTATTCATTTATGAATAATATGTATATTATACTGTTTAAGAAATTGGCTTACACATTCACTTACTGTGGGGATCTAGGAAGCTGAAATATGTAGGACAAGTGAGCATCCTGGAAACAAAAAGCTTCTCCACAGTCAACAATCAACAAAACAAAAAGGCAGGCTATGGTTTGGGAGTAACTATTTATGAACCATCTATCTAGTTACAAGTTAATATCCAGAATATATAAAGAACTCACACAGCTCAATAGCAAAATATACAGACTGGTTAACAAATACGCAAAGGATTTTAACAGGCATTTCTCAAAAGAAAACCCACCACTGGCCAACAGTTAGATAAAAATGTGCTCAACATCATTAATAATCAGAGAATACAAATGAAAACCATAATGAACTACCACCTCACATTTGTTAGGATGTGTATTATCAAAAAGTCAAGAGATAAAAGCTCATGATGGCAAAGGTGTGGAGTGAATGAAACCCTTTTAGGATTTTAGCCAGCATGTTAAGAAGGACCTTACATGACAGAAATGTTATTGGTACATTATGAAAAACAGTATAAGGGTTCCTTGGAAATCAAAATAGATCTACTATATGACCCAGCAGTTCATCTATTGAGCATTTATCCCATCCCCAAAATGAAATCCACATCTTATACTGATATCTCCAGTACTAATTCTAACTCGTTAATCACACAGCAAATAAGAGTTTCTATTTGAAAACACTGCTCTTTCCACCATCCTGGTGTCAATTATTTTTTTCTATTCTAGTCATCTCTTCTTTATTGCTCTGTAATAACGTAGGTCCTAATATACATTGACATAACTAACTCTTTATTCCAACAAGAAATGAGAAATGTTGAAAAGAATGCAATTGTATACTTCTTGTCTTCAACCATTTATTCTAGTTTTTGGAGGATTCTGTATTTAACTCTTACCCAGTAACTCTAGTTAACATATGCATAGTACCTAGTCAACAATCCTAAAAAAAATAAGAACACAGAGTTGACTGGAATGATTACTAAACTTTCTGTGTTCAACCAGTTTTCCTAGTAATTGCTAGTTGTTTATTCAGCTGTTTGCCTAGGTACCACTAAATGTCTAGTATTATGTCACTAAGACATAAGAAGTATTATTAAGAAGGATATGTTTACTCCAAGTACTGGCTTTATCTAGTTATCACTAGTTAATTACTCACTTGGATAAAGAATATATCTATTGTATGAGGTAATTTTTCTAACATGAGGTTGGGATTTTGCATTCAGGAAAATGGTTATTCAACTCCCTAGCATAGACCAGTTATCTTCAGCTTCCTGTGATCAATTACTTGGTCTGGCTATTTTTAGCTATCTTTAGGTTGCTAATTACATGTTTACCACTAGGTATCTGTGATAATTTATTATTCTAACAAAAAATAATAGAATGATAAGGAAGGATTTTCTTTTTTCCTAGCATCACATAGATATTCAAATTATCTCCAGTTGTCCTTTGCAACTTTTTGTTCCTGGGTAACATTCAGCACCTGTCCTTCTAAGTTTTTATCCCAACTAAAACCAATAATTGAGAGTTGCAAAGAACACAATTTTCAGGATCAGACTTCACTTGGTATTGGAAAGCCTAGTTAAGTAGAACTTGTATATTAACTCAACACTAGCAAAAATATATCTGACCACACTACATTCCCTGTGCTCTACATTCCACTAAACTATTCTTTTTAAAAATTTTTGCCTCCTTCTCCCTTCTCCTTCTCTTCTTCCTCCTATGCTTACTCTTCCCCCACCTTCTTCACCTTCTCTCTCTGTCTCTCTTTCTATGTGTGGTGGCAGATAAACATAAGGGTGTATAGTGAGGCGCATACATAGGTCTATCTATCTATCTATCTATCTATCCTTAAAGATATGTATATCTCTAAAAACTTAATTAATATATAGATGGTGTGATAGCCTTTATGTGTCAATATTATATTTTTGACCATTTACTCGTGAACTTGAATGGGTTAAAAACATGACTCTTAGCACCTGTATAATACTCTCTTTTGTGCAGGGTCCATGATATACCTACCTATTTGATATGGTTTCACTCTGTGTCCCCAACCAAATCTCATCTTGAATTGTACACCCATTAATTCCCATGTGTTATAGAAGGGACCCAGTGGGAGATAATTTGATTCATGGGGGCAGTTTTATCCATACTGTTCTTGTGGTAGTGAATAAGTCTCATGAGATCTGATGATTTTATCAGGGGTTTCTGCTTTTGCATTGTCCTCATTTTCTCTTGCTGCCACCATGTAAGAAGTGCCTTTTGCTTCCCACCATGATTCTGAGGCTGCCCCAGCCATTTGGAACTGTAAGTCCAGTTAAACCTCTTTTACTTCACAGCCTTGGGTATGTCTTTATCAGCAGTGTAAACAGACTAACACACTATTATTCAACATGGGGTATTTTGATCTTTTCTGTTTTCTAAAAGTATGACAAGATTGGGTTTAGGATGCTTCTCTGATGTGACTGTGACCCTGCATGCTGGTTAGCCAGAGCCCTTGATATGTGGTTGTGAAATAAAAGCTCTTAGTTTCACGTGACAAGAACAAGAGTTGACTTAATATCAGCTACTCAGAAAAAAAATGTATCAAATAACCTCCATCCAACTGTGTATATGGAAGAAGATTTCCAGAAAAACCATAAAATAATATCATTGTCATTGTGACCAAGATGAAAAGAATAAGACTGGTTTGTATCCAAATCAGACAGGTTATATAGTCTCACTTTGGTCCAAGAATGTTTTTTCAATATGATCATTTTTCAGTGCTGCATGACGATTTTTTTAAAGCAACATTTACTCTGAATAAATTTGAAGACCTCTCATCATTTTAACCTGTTTTATATATGTTGACAATCTGAGTGAGAGTAGTCTATGATTAGGAGAAATATTTGATGGGTAAGAAAATCGTGACTCATGTTTAGAAGTTGGAGAGGAGAAAATCAGATTCTGTGACCTGTTAGGTCTGTTTTTAATCTATTTCTGAGTCATCTACCATTTTGATGATTTTTGTTGTTGTTCCCCCAAATTCATCAAGTGAGCTCACCTTTTAATTATTGTTACCCACTGACTGACTCAAATCATTCAGAATATGGTTTTTGCATTTATTTGTGTTTTTACTTTTGTGTCCTTTTCCTTCATAGGTTCAATGAGTCATTGATCCCTATGATGCTGTACTGTATGGATGGCTCCCTTGTCACTGTATTGGCTAGAAATGAAATACAGTCCACAGAAGGAAGCCCAAAGAGGAGTTTGCAGTTAGGCCTCCTTATGTCTCAGAATTGTGTCCTGAGAAACATAACTGAGAAAATGGCTTCTGGACACCCCAGGAAACTTGAGATTCTCCAAGAGATGAGGCATAAACAGCCCCAACAAAATACTGTCCTTCTCACTCATTTGATGTTTGTATCAGCTGAAAACCAAAAGACTGTGAGGCAACGTTCAAATAAAGGCAAGGCACAACATAAAACATAAAGAATAAATCAAGACAAACTTTATCAGAAAACCCTGAAGAATTTGGAACAATTTAGTACTCTCGAGTGTTCATATTGAGTAGTTTGAGAAGCTTGGGTTGTGAATTTAGGTCAATATTTGTTGATGTTAGCTAAGCCATAGAAAGTTTAATTGGAGATGAATGAACCTTTACCTATTAACTCATATGGGTTGAAAACATGACTTGGCCGGGAATGGTGGCTCATGCCTGTAAACCTAGAAGTTTAGGAAGCAGAGGCTGGCACATTGCCTGAGCTCATGAGTTCAAGACCAGCCTGGGAAACATGGTGAAACCCTGTCTCCACGAAAACACAAGCAATTAGCCGAGTGTGTTAGCACAAGCCTCTAATCTCAGCTACTCAGAAGACTGAGGCAGGAGAATCCCTTGAACCCAGGAAGCCGAGATGGTGCCACTGCACT